ATATCCCCAGCCCCTTTCTTAATTTTTTATTTTGAGACAGAGGACCTAAGTTGACCAGGCTTGCCTCAAACTTGGATAGTACTTCCCCAGTCTCTCAGAGAACAGGTTCTACCATCTCTTCAACACTGCCACACAGGAGACCAACTTCTAGCACAAGAACCTTTGGGAAACAAACCACTTTTAGACCATAATGCAGCTCAGTCATAGTTGAAAAGGGCATATAAACCCTGGAACCGACTTCAGAGCCTTCCCCTCCTGTCGCAGCAATGCACAGTGAATGCACTATTTCATTTGGCTCATGACTAAATTCAAATACTGTGCTGTCTGCTCATGTTCAAATCTCTTAGGCAAGAGTCTGGTCAGAGGGCTGCACTGGACCTGTGTGGGAAATCCAGCTGAGGGCCGTCCCTGTGGTTTAAAGAGCAGGCAAAGCCCCTCCTAAGTTTCTAAGTCTTTGCATACTTACATTATTTTTTTGCCTTAGTTCTTACCTTTGGCCTTTGTCTATCACAGATATTTTGTCACTTTATTTTTAAGAATAATTTAAAAGTCAAAACTTTGACATATGTCTAATAATAACTTGCCCCAGCATTTTATAATGAATCTCAAATTAACATAATGTCTGGTTATGTTAAAACAGCCCTAGATTAAAACTCTTCAGAAGCACCTAATTTGGCTGGGGTTGTGGGCGGGATCTGCAAACAAAGCAATGTAATCCTTTTGGCCTTATCAGACTGACTTTCTGCTCGTGCAGAGGAGAGTTATTCTCTTGGTGCAAAAGTGACTTTGAAGATTAATAAGTAACAGGATGAGTACACATAGATTTATGAACATTAAAACTTTTAGAAAAAATCTAACTTGTTCTGTATAAATTGTCTTAAAGATATAAACTCTTGTGCTTTTAATTCAGACTTAAATAAATTTTTGGTGGTCCACGATGACCTCCCATCGGCAAGGGGTGAGTTTAGGTCTTTGAGAGACGACGAGCTGTTGACCTCTAGGAGACCTCAAGCCTGACCTCTGTTTAAACAAATCTCTGGCCCAAATAGTTGAGTTGCAGGCAGTGAGTTCAGAGAAGATTGGGAGACAACAGCTTCAAGAGGCAGAGGCAGGAATCGGTTCCTCTGTAGGAATGAGAATCAAAACCTCACTCTGGCATCCTTGCATCTGCAGTGTTCCCTGTGCTGGAAAATTAGTGTGTCTGTACGTCTGCATGCATTTCTTTAGAGATAGATACTTTAAGTTCATTTATTTTATACTTTTGAAAGCCATCAGCACCCTAGTCATAAAAACAGAAAGCAGGCTAAGTATTTTAAACAGAAAAAGATTTGATAAAAGGATGTGTATTTGAGTTGTTTTGGAAGGGCTAGAAAAGGAGAGGAAAAAACCAGGAAAAAGAGGCTTCTCAGAATCCTGAGAATCTTGCTGGTCAGCCCATGTGCTGGTGGATGGTCACTTGCATTTTCTTTTCCTTTTCCTTCTCCTTTTTTTTTTTTTTTTTTTAAATTTGCCACACTGAGGATTGAATCTAGGGCATTTTCACTGAACTACATCCCCGAGCCCTCTTTTATTTTTTATTCTGAGACAGGGTCACACTAAGTTGCTAAGTTGTACAGGCCGACTTGAACTTGAGATCCTCCTGGCTCAGCCTCCCAGAGTGCTAGGATTACAGGCATGCATCACCACATTGAGCTTGGATAGCCACTCTTAAAGCTTGCCATTTCTTGGGGCCTATCCCTTGGCAGGGCAGTGGTTATAGGCCCTGACTGACTTCTGCAGCCGCCAGCCACTGTTATTACTGCCAAGATTAGGGCCAGAGCTGCTATCAGGGACAGAGGCAGAATCCCCTCCACCTCCCTCCTGCCTTCTGATGCCCCATCGCTCCCTAAACCTAAGCGGGTCCCTGTTTGCAAAGCAGTCTGGGAAATGTAGTGTCTACACTTCCACCTCCTGAGATGCATAAAGCACAGAGGGAGGGTCAGGCAGTATCTAGGACAGGTGGCTCTCAGAGTACATTATTTTTTTTTTTCTTTTTAAAAATTTATTTAGTTTTTTAACAGCACATGATTGCCATACGTGATGATCACATTCATCATGGAAAATTTGTGCCTGTACATAATATATGTTAACTCTTTTTTTCCCATTCTCAAGATACTTTAAAAATGTTATCACAGAACTTTTAACATTTTGACATTTACTTTTATTTAAATATGCACTATGAAAATCCTTATTTCTCTTATGAGAGAGTGAAAAAGAGCACCAGTTTTATGTTGAAGAACATACTGTGAGTTTAAAGACTATCTAGTCTTAATTCATACAACTCAAAAGCAACCAGCCAAAATCATTGAAAGGATCACTCTTGCAGGGCTGTGAGACCCTGCTGTCTCATCTGTGAAAAGCATGGTTTGAAACCTGTGCTACACTGTTAACCCAACAAATTGAAGTACAGCTGGATAGAGCAAATTCTATTGGATGGGCTTTTGTACTGATGATGAAGCAAAATGTTCCCTTTTCTCTGGTGATCAGATAATCTGCTTGCATCCTGAGATTTTATGTACATTTGTTCTAGGTTCATTCTTTACATATTTCATTCCAACAAGGGATTATTCCAGATGAAAAATTACTTATAGGTTTAAAATAAAGCCATGCTCTGAAGAAAAAAATTGATAATAAAAATCCCTGTAAGTTGCCAGAATTAGATTACTAGTATTACGCATGTATGTCAATCTCACTGCTTCTTTCATCTCAATGGACTTTTCACTCACTGTGAAGTGGACCAGCTACTGTTGCCCCAGCTTTGTGTCACAGTATGTTTCAGCATGTGTTAAGCAATTGTCATCAGATATAGAGCCAAGGCCCGAAGTTGGGTATTCTGGACAAATACTTGTTTTTATATGGAATATATGCAGTATGAACAAACAATATGGTGACTGTTTTAAGTTTTTAAAAACTTATTGTAAGAAAAACACTTTGCCAGTAATCATCCTCAAAATATTCCCTCTCACTTCAAACACACTATCCCACTATTCATGACACTTTGTGAAGCAGTTCTGGAAGTCCTCTTTTGCCAGTGTCTTTAGTTGCACTGTCACAGCTGCCTCATTGTCCTGTATTAATTCAAAACCTTTACGTTGCATGATCATTTTGACTTTGGGGAAGAGCGAGAAGTTTCATGGTGCCAGATCCAGTAAATAAGATAGCTGAAGACTCACTATAATGATTTTATGAGCTTGCCTTTCCATTGGATGACACATGGCAGCAGAATTTACTATATTTTTGTTCACATCTCATAAAGACACTCAGGAAAGAGCACCTTCTGAAATGCTTTAGAAAGTGACAAGCATAATAGGATAAATGTGCTTGAAACAAGGGGAAGTACTGTGAGGGGGGTTAATGACAAGAGTCTTTTACTGTAATAATTTTTAAATTTTAAACATTTACCGTATTTTATGATCACACCTCATACAACTGTGAGACAATTCACAATTTTTATTCCAACAGCATGAATTTTTATTCCAACAGCATTTTTTCTCTTCACACTGCTATCCAGGGCAGAGGTTGTCAAGCTGGCACACACCCTTGGGGGATTTACAGAGACAGTCACAGGCTGGAGGGCCTGAATATTTCCAAGGAATCTGTTTTCAGATCCTCAGCTCACTTATTTCCTCTTTCCCTCAAATGAATTTTCCTGAGAACAGATGAGAACAGGAATCACCACCCTCTTCCACCCTGTAATGATGCTTTGACTGTAAGTTTAACAATCTGTGGGTCACCAAACCATGGGACAGTCTGAAATACTGGGTTTGGTTATAAGAAAGTAGTTTAAAAAGAAAGTGACTCAGTAAAGTAACCACAGTTATTTGCTAATGATTTTGTAATGAAATTTTGTTTTATTTTTCATAGAAGAGTGCTTTTGTATTTTCTTTATTAATATCTGCTTATATTACATTAAAATAAAAATTTTAATAAAATGAAAAGAAGACAAAGAAAAGAAAGTGACTAATGACTAGATTAAATAACTTTTTATAAGTCTGGTGATTTCCATTTCTTTCTCCTAGCAAAATTGTGCCAAGACTTAAATGACCACTGGCCATTAGAAAAGTAAAAGTAATTTGGGTGTTAGATCAGAATGTGAATCTTGACATATTAGTTGAAGTAGATGTCAAAAAATCATGTAACACTACTAAAACAGAACTCCATTCCCATTCATTTATGTTTACACACAAGCTTTCTTGGATGATAAATTTATGGAAATGAAAAACAGGAATAGAATAGATGTGGAGCCATGGCTCATTCTATGAATGAATTTTATTCATCCACAGATTTCATGACCTAACTGTGAAAGTTCTCCCCGTCTTTTTCTTAATCTTCTAGAAATTGGCAGGTATATTTCCAGTAGAACTTTACTCTTGTATAACAGTTATTTCTTAGAATGCATGACACTCATGTTTTTTTCAATTATGGACTAAAAGTAATAACTCAGAAAAAAAATCTAATATTTAAAGATAGTGGCACTGAAAATTTTAAAAAATTAAATGTCAATTAATATATAACATTGCACACAGACATATGATAAACAATAAAACATTTTCTACATAAAGTGTATTAAATTAGGATAAAAGTATATGGGAATAAAAATAAGCACTCAAAGCACAAAAAGATTGATGTCAAATGTTACGCTGTTAGAGAACTCATTTTTATGGGATGAATGTGTAAGTGTCCAATTGCTACTGTATTTATACTCTCCTGGATACATTTTAAAAATGATATGACAACATTATTTAAAAACCAGTATGTACAGTATGCTAGAAATTACATTTTTTACAAGTATTTAAACTGAAAAAATATTTCTATATCTGTGTAAAATATGCATGTGATTAATTTTCAAAATTTAAGGAGTATGTGAGCAAATATTTAAAGATCAGTAATCTACACAAGAGCTAAAGTACTTCAAAGCAGGCACCTTCGGGTCTTCAGGTGTTTTTTCTTTGTTTTCCCAGTTTGATCTTGTCTGTGTCAATGCATGGATGCTGGACCTCACCCAAGCCATCCTGAACCTAGGCTTCCTGGCTGGGGCATTCACATTGGGGTACGCAGCAGACAGGTAGGTATAGCTGTGACAACCATTTTATATCACTATAACATGCACACATGTGGAAAGGAGCATACTTTGTGTTAACTATTCAAAAATAGGTTTAGGGCTGGGGATTTAGCTCAGCGGCAAAGCACCTGCCTGGCAAGTGCAAGGTCGTGAGTTCGGTTCCCGGTACCGGAGAGAAAAAACCAAAACAAAAAAAACCAAAAAAAAAACAAAAATAGGTTTGCTAAATTTGGAAACAGTTATTTTATTCTACCACTCATGCTGTTGATACTTGTTTGGTTTGACAAAGTCTTCCCTTCTCAAACTTCATCTCCTTGCTCCTTGAACTAGTTGAAGGGTAAAGTGGTTCTTGGTGGGTCTGAGAGTGTTCAAGGGAAAACAGATTAACATACAGTGATATTACAGTTGGGATGCCTGGATATTGTACTGGATACAGTAATTCTGTGGTTGTGGTTTGATTAATATACTACCAAAATCATCCCACTCCAAATTTATTTTCCTTTTTAGAAAAGAATCATTGTACATATTCTTCTACAGATTTAAAACTCTATGAAAAGGCAATTTTCCAAAATCTCCTAAAAGACTATTAGGTATTATTTTATGTTCATAAACGGAACTTGCTGGCTAATGGCAGACGGCACTGGGAGTGTATAGCAAGACCATTGTGCTTTCTATTTGAATATTCTTCTTTCTGGCATTGTTATTGGTCATCATATGCATGTTTAACTCTATTACTTTATCGTAATTCTAACTACAAAAATGTTTGCAGTGATTTAATAATTTTCTGTATCCTTGAGAAGGAGGGCAGAATAGGAATCTTTGACCTTTGGCCATATCTGGACAGACAATGCTCAGGTCACTCCAGTTCAGGCCTTGGTGGGTCCTTGTGGTCCTGCTATTCACCAGGTAATGGTCAGGGTCCGTTTCAGAGACCCACAAACCATACTTCATTAGCTAATTCAACAATAAAATGCCCCAAAGTCCATATTGAAAATCTGAGTTTGAAAATCTGAGTTTGACCAAACCAGTACTTCAAGATGGGTTATCCTTCCAGTTTTTTCTTCTGTCATTTTCTCTTCCCTCTCCAGGTTGTTCTAGCCCTCCCCATGCATATTACTAAGTGAAAAAAAGCTAATCTGAAAAGGCTAAATACTAAGTGATTCCACCTATATGACATCCTGCAAAGGGCAAAACCATGGAGACAGTAAAAATTCAGTGATTTCCGGAGGTGAGGCGTAACTATTAATGATGGAGAAGCAAAATGCAGAATTACTTTAGGACAGTGAAACTGTACAATACTGTCATGGCAGATACATGCCATTATATGTGTTTGTCTGAACCCACACAATGTGCCACACCAAGAGTGAACATTCATGTACTCTGTGCACTCTAGATGATGATATGTCAATGCAGGCTCAGTAACTGCTAGCAAATGTATCATTTTGTAGGAGCTGCTGGTAATAAGGGATCCTGTGTGTTTGGAGGCAGAGAGCACATGGGAATTCTCTGCATTTCCTGTTCAAATTTTTCCGTGAACCTAAAACTCCAAAAACCACTCACTTAAACCTTGATAAACTAAGGTTACTTCTGTCTCCATTCTGCTGACTCAAGCAAGATGCAACGTGTTTAAAGTTGCTGTGGAAATTTCATGGAAAAATATCAGAATTTAATGTCTTAAAATTCATTGACAACCAACTTTCACTAGGCAATAATTTGACACAACTATACTGAACCAGTTCACTCTACCTATACCTTTAGTTTTGTGCACAATACCCCCACTGCTTTTTTCTAAGCTTTTTAATAATAGTTGCAGAAAAGGTGAAATACAATTAGAAATATTAAGAATGATTCACATTGGTTGTGAACATCACAGTTTATAAAGAGTTTTGTCATTAACATCTCACTTGATCCTCTGTACTACCTCACTGTGGAAAAGTGAAAATAAAAAATAAGCAAACATAATGTGACTGTATAGCTGGTAACTGATTGGAGCAAGTGATTGGCTGTAATACCACCACTGCTACTTCCTTCTACCTTAATCTTCCTGTAACTCTGCCCATAAAAATATTAGAAGATGTCACCTCTGTGCCACATCATGTGAAATAGTTGTGTTAGAGAATGGATCATCTTGGGGAACTGCAGTTACAAAGATCATCTTTGTGATTTGTAATATCGTTTTAGTGGCATTTAGTTTTATTTGCTCTGATTTTGCCATAAAATGACTCTTAAACTTTTCCACAGTCCTTTCCTTTTGTAGTAATGAAGTTAGAGAGAACAGATTTTCTATACCTACAATATCTCTTGGCAACCCTCAAGTGATAGGTTTTCCCCCATTATATTGAGCAAAAATTTTAAGGTGATCCTTTTTCCTCTCTTTTTCTCAAAAAGGTATGGCAGAATAGTCGTTTACCTAATATCCTGTTTCGGTGTGGGTGTTACTGGTGTTGTGGTGGCATTTGCACCAAATTTCCCTGTGTTTGTGATCTTCCGCTTCCTACAAGGTGTGTTTGGAAAGGGGACATGGATCACTTGCTACGTGATTGGTAAGACTTCATTGTATCCTCTTCTCTGTTTGGGAACTGGGGTCAGGTGACCAAGAAGTGCTGCCAAGTGGGCCTTCCTTTAACAATAATTACAGGAGGCTTCATTGTGACCATAATTGTCTGTGTAAGTAGAAGGGCTTGAGGGAAGGCTTCTGACCTCTCTGGAAAACTGAAATGCTGTTTTAATTTTAGAAGCAAGTATGAAATATAAAATACTGAGATAAACCACTTCTGACCCTTCATGTCGTGGTTATCACATTTTCCAGCTTTGCTTTACTGCGAACTAATGTCTATAAAAATTTCAACATCTCTTTGAAACATTTAAAAAATATTTTCTGTCCTTAAATACTACTTTTAATTCTCACATATGTGAACTATTTGCCATGTGAGAGATATGTTCTAAAAGTGAAAAGTGTATGAGCCTTTGTTATCTCCCATAACTGGAAGTTTGACCTTCTTCTGGGTATGAAAGAAAGCCTTCCCTCTACTTTTTGCTCATATTATTGGAAAAGTACAGCTGCTCCCCTTGGTTCAGTTTCTAGTGTAAGACCACCCACTTACTATATTCGAATGCAGGGTAGACTCCTGACCGTGGTAATAAGGCTCATCTTAGAATATTGCTCTAGACTTTGGGGCGCCGCTCTCTGATTACTGCTGTACCCAAGCAATGTCCACTTTAAAAATATTTTCAAGACCTTTATGGGTGGGAAAAGGAGTGATAATGCTAGGAGAGATTGTCACTGACTGGAGTAGAAGGAACAGTTTTGAAATGTGAGACATTTTTAAGGTGACCCAAATATGTATGAATGTTCCAGGTTGTGATCTTAGGACAACATTCAGATAGCTTATTCTAGGGTTACCAGAGCAGAATAAATCAATGAGTGGAAAGGGACAGAGGAGGAAGGATTCTAGCAATAAAATGTCCCATGTGATTTTAATGAAATGTTGCATAAATGAGAAGTCCAACACCATGGAGAAAATTGTCCTTAATAGAAATGACCTTGTTATAACGGAAAGCATTTGTAAAGTCTAATGTTCATAGTGAACCACTGTAAGAAACTATACTGTGCCAGTCTTTAAAGATACAGTGATAAAAATTTAGCAGTTTACTATATTGTTTTTATAATTGCAATAACCTTCCAAAAATGATCATCACTGAGGCCTCCCTAAAACCAATGCATATTCTTTTTATTCACCAACCGTACCCAGAAAGGTACCAAGCTTGGTGCCTAAGAGGAACATGGCAGAGAAGGAGAGTGAGACAGAAACATTTAAGGAAACTAGAAAGTGCATCTCCATCATTTCAGCAAATATGGAAGCCTTGGTATCTTTGAGTTCTAGAGTGTTCCGGCAATGCTAATGAATGTAACAGGTGTAATGTCTCTCTATTTATTTTGGAGTTGATCTTGAGCTCCCCTAACTTCTGTGTTTGTTTTCCTTCAGTGACAGAAATAGTAGGTTCAAAGCAAAGGAGGATTGTGGGAATAGTGATTCAAGTGTTCTTCACCCTTGGAATCATAATTCTCCCTGGAATTGCCTACTTCATTCCTAATTGGCAAGGGATCCAGCTAGCCATAACGCTGCCCAACTTTCTCTTCCTCCTTTATTACTGGTAATGTGGTTTTGGTCACTATCATATTTATACTTATTCCACAGAAATGTAGAATCTAAGGCAACATGAAGATGAAAGGAATGAAGGAAATTTTCTAACATTTCCAGAAGGAATATCGGCTTTGAGGATTTTCAGAGTACTTGAGAATTTATAGAGATATTTATTATCAAATTAATAGTTGTTACTAAAAATAAAAAATACCAAAACACAAAATTCTAGAGAATTGCATTGTATTTTATTATTTTGCAGTATCTTAATGCAAACTATGAGGCAGCAAAATTATATCTGCCAGTATTGCACAAAGCAAATTGAATGTAATGAATTTGCTTCTCTCTATGCTTTATTAAGCAAATTAACATTATGCAAGAATTCTCTGAGGAATAAGAAAATGCTAGGAGCATTAGAAATTAAATTATCAAGAAGGTACAGGTGTATGCATTTGATTCTTATTAATGCAGACATGTTTTAATCATTTCTCTCATTTGATTTTAATCTGTAGACAAATCAATCTATATAAATCAAGTTATTAACATTTTTCTAATATCACTAAACTCCAGTTCTTTTCATATATGTATTAGAGATACTATACTGCAGGATAGGATGGCTTGGAAAAGCAATATAATATTTTTTAAAAACAGTGACAGAATTATCAAATTCACATTTTTTTATTCATTGCAAATTTGCAAAGATAATCTGTGTTTCAGAGAGTTTATGGTCAACTTGTAGAATGATTACATCCTGCATATAAATGAAAGATCCATTTCGATAGAAAAATTCAAGTCATAAACCTTTAGGTTTTGAAATTCCTGACGTAACTTAAAAAAGCCTCCTTCTTTACTAGGGTGGTTCCTGAATCTCCCCGCTGGCTCATTACTCGGAAGGAAGGAGACAAAGCATTAAAAATTCTGAGGCGCATTGCTAAATGCAATGGGAAATATCTCTCGTCAAGTTATTCAGAGGTAATTTTATTCCTTGCTAGTAAAAAATATTGTTAAAATGGATGAATTTATTATTATGTACTTAATTTTGCCCCTTAAAATTATATATATATATAAACATAACATCTGACTAAATCATTTCTAGTTGAGGTGAATTGACCACTTCAGTTTATATTTTAATAGTTTGACCCAGTTACTTGAATTATTGTTGTTTATTTACTGTTGACCTCATAGTAGTTAATGATTCATTTTGATTGTACAAACTGTGAATCTTTCCTGATACTCAGTTCACTCTAAAGATTTGTTTCTAAATTTAGTCTCAGAAATACTATTTATTCAAATCAAAGCTCAACCAATAATGCGGCATTTCAGCTTTAGGCTCACATTTGCTTTCTTCCCTCTCCACCTCTCTTTCTTTTCTTCCTTCCTTCCTACTTTCTTTCCATCCTTCCTTCCCTTCCTCCTTCCCTTCCTTCCTTCCTTCCTTCTTTCCTCCTTTTTTTCTTTCCTCCTTTTTTTCCTTTCTCTAACAAAGGCCTTTTAGGAACCTATGTATGGGAGAAAATGAAAAGCTTATTCTTTGGCCTTTGGAAGATATGCAGTTGAGGATATAATACACATATTCAAAGTAACTGCTGAATTATTGGAGAACAGCATACAAAAAATATATGACAGTATTTTAGCTGAAAAGATCAAGGGAATGCAGAGTCATGAAAGGATTATTATAAAAGGAATACTAGCACTGACTGTGACAGCACTTATACAAAATTGGAACTATTCAGAGAAGATTAGCACAATTTCTAAATAGGGATGACCTGCAAATTCGTGAAGTGTTCCATATTTTTTGTAGATTGTGATATTTAAGAATTATGTGGGCTGGGTGAGGGTCACTTATTCTCATTACATTATCATATAGACACTTAATCATGTAACAGTTCAGATACATTCCAGTAAGTGAGAGCCAGTGAAGTCTGTGTAGTAACTAAGTAGTAACTAAGTTCCTTTTGAATTAAAGAGTGTTGCATTTTTTTAATTGCAAGATTTCTGAGAACACATAAAGCACAGTCTGGTATTTTGGCATGCACCCACTGTGGACTTTTACCTTTTGTATAATAGCTGACCATGACATTGGGAATTTAAAATCTGAAGGTGTATGTAATGAACTGAGATTATTTGGTCCATGAATGGGGGCACAGTAATAGTAAGGCACCCACTAGAAATGTTGCTGACCCCTCGCTGTCTCTACATTTTTCTTTTGAAGAACTCAGAAAGTTCTGATGATGTACAATGTTCATACTTTAGGTTCAGTACATTACTGTTTCATTCCTGTCTGGTAGATCTTAGCTACACCTTAATGGGAGAGTGGTGCAGAGTGTAAATAATGTTCCTTCCCTTTATTACATCTGCTTTTAGGTTAGAAGAATGGTTTTTAAAAATGCAATTTTCTCATCAAATGGGAGTGTTCTTTCTCCTGCAGAAAGGAATCTCCTAGAACAGTGGTAGTGAGCCACACATCCATGCATGCCACAGTGGGTACGCAGAGCCCTGTCTGTCAGCACGCAAGCCAAGTTCCCCCAGCAGCCAAGCACTGGATAATAGTTGTTGTTTTTTTTTTTTTTTCTTTTTTTCTAAACTAAAACCTCAGCATTCAGATTTAATAGCAGTGTTGGCACTTTGGGATAAATAGGTGGGTTTTGGGTTGCCGTTTGGGCACTCAGTCTCTGAAAGGTTCACCATCACTGTCCTAGATGGATTTGTGCTTAGTTCTTTGTAAGAGATCAGAAAGGTTCCATGCCTGTTTCTCTTAGCACCTAAAGATGTGTGGATGAAAACTTGGTTTTAGGTGTGAGGTGGGGCTTTTCCATGATACTTTTACTCTGGCCTTTGAAGTATGATTTAGTTTTGTATGAAGTATAGTTTTGTATGAAGTACAGTTTTGTATGAAGTATAGTTTTTTAGTATGAAGTATAGTTTTCAGAACACAAATTGGTTTCATTCCACATAAAATTGTCACACATTGTCATCTTGTAACATCATTATTGAACTTTGAAAATACGTACTGAAGAATTGTGAGGATTTAAGAAAAAAAAACTTTTAAATATTTGTAGAGTCTTGCACAGTCTCATGTAGAGAGTTCTTCTAGCCATTGAGGTGTATATTTAATGAGGAAGTTCTGCACATTGTTCAGTGCAACCTTGCTTGTGAATCTGGTGGATTATGGTGTTAATCCTCATAAGTCTACATAGCCAAGGTACCTGAAGATCCTGTGAGGGTGGCCGTTGTGATGGTGGAGCTGGTTTGAGAACTTCCCATAAAGCCATGCCTCACGGGTTGTTTTAACATCCAGCCCAGGCATCAGGTCACATGTGACAGTGTCTGATGTGTTGCAAGTGGCAAAGCCCTTATAGGTGGGTGCCCAAGACATCCAGCTTCACCAGAGTGTGAGCAGTCGGACTCTCTGTAGCTTAGAAAACAGATTTGCATTTGTGCTTGCCATTGAAAACTCCAGACAGAGGAGGTGGGCCTAAGTGGACGATACTGTGCATTCCTCTCCCTTTTTTTAGGAGAAGACAAATAAACACAGTTTTAAAAGATTTTCTAGGGGCTGAGGATTTAGCTCAGCGGCAAAGCGCCTGCCTGGCAAGCGCAAGGTCGTGAGTTCGGTTCCTGGTACTGGAGAAAAACCAAAAAAAAAAAAAAAAAAAGATTTTCTAATGTGCACAGCCAGTAAATAAATCAGTATAAATTACTTATGAATCTCTCTCTTATGTTCAAATCTTTAATGGTTAAGATTTCTTTTCTTCCCTTTTTTTGATGTGTTCACTTACTTTAATGACACAGCATGTATACCATATTATCACCATGAAATGTAAGTTCAGGTTAGACAAGAGAATTTTACAAGTGTTTACAAGCAATCTCTAGTATATCAAAGTTTGTGGTAATGCCTAACCAAACCAGCTTGTTCATAAACCATTAATCACTTCCATTGGGGGTAAAATGTTTAACATTTACAATTCTTATAGAGAAAATAAACATATTGCATATGTTTAAATAAACGTATTTAAAAAGTGTTCATTTATCTGTGTATTAGCATTTAAAATAAGTATTTCTGTTTCAAGATGACATTTAAAAGTTATGGTCATATAAAGGCAGGAAAAATATACCATAATTGTATAATTATAAAAGAGCTAAACTGGAATCCATAATTAAGCTATTCTCATGTTTACAAGTGTCATTCTGAAATAAATACCACTTCTGTGAAGCTCTGTTTCCTAGGTTTGAAAACACACACACACACACACACACACATACACACATCCAGTTGTAAGACAGTTCATAAGTTATATCTCATGCATGTTTTGAAAGAGTTGTTCAAGAGCCAACCAACTCTAAAAACTGAAGTTCTCACACCAGTCCACAGGCAGACAGATAAAAGCGGAAGAAACTGGGGTCAACAGGATTCCTACATAACATGCAAAGCATGTGATATTTGGTAGCAGACTGAGAGTACATGAAGGTTGACTTGGTATCTTCTTTAGAACTAATTTTTTCACGAGGATTTAAGAAAGGTAGAAATTCTGGGGGCTGGGGATTTAGCTCAGCGGCAAAAGTGCCTGCCTGGCAAGTGCAAGGTCGTGAATTCGGTTCCCGGTACCGGAGAAAAACCAAAAAAAAAAAAAAAAAAAGAAAGGTAGAAATTCTAACACTATCAAGTGCATTTAGGTGACATGTTTCTTTCATGTTGACTCCTTGAATGACCCAGTTAGTGAACTAGTCGCTACTAACTTAGTCATCAAGTCTGCAAGGAAAAAAAACCATTCTTCAAAATACTTTAATATAGTCTGAGCCAACTCAGATGATTTATTTTTGACACAAATATATAACCTCAACGTGAGATTCTAACTAAACAAGCACTTCCAAAAAGACCAAGGCAGCATCTCTACTTCTAAATTTAGGTTTCCCCCAGAATTCCCAGTTCATGGAATAGCCCATACCAAGGGTTATTACTCCCACAACAAGGTCTTGGGCTGCTATAATGCATGCAGATCAGGTGACTGGACATTTTAGTATTTCTTTGATCTTCAATTTGTATAGTCCATCTGCTACAATTGCTGTAAAGCTTGTCCTTTCTTTAGGGACAAATAGTACCTCTTTAGCTTTTCTGATAACTTTAGATCCCTGATCTTCATTGTATGAAGAAAGAGGAACATCTGTATTGCTTGACATAGTAACTGCTGTAAGAATCTTCCGAAAGCCACAGAACCTGGAAAGCTCCACCGACTTCTAGCCTCAGCCCGAACACTGCATTACATTGGCCAAGCTTCTCCCGTTCCTGCCCACAGCCTGCGCCCTTCTTCCTTTTCTTAAAGAGTGGCAATTATCTTTTGAGCCTATGAAATTTTTGAAGTTGTAACAATTTCATGGTCCTACTTTTTCTTATTCTAGGAACTAATGTGGCTTTTATCATGTTCCCAATTGGAACAAATTGCAAGACAGTGAGTTTTAAATTACCTTCCACGTTGGAAAACATCTAAAAATGTTTGAAAATCTGGTGATATTTAAAAGTAAATGCTACAAAAAAGAGATATTAGCAATTTTAGTAGATATGGATCTTGACTTAAACCTTAAAATTATTAGACAAAACTATTTCTAAAACATTAGCATCATTTTCTTTGTAGCATTCAGCTTGTTTTGATGGAAATATTCTAATAAGAATGTTATGATGAGAAATGAGTTTTGTTGGTTTTATCATCCTCTTCCCTCTCACCCAACCATCCCTAAGTTAATCAGATTTGCTTGGATTTCTACCTTATGCCTCTCTTCTTTTTGAAATGAGAAACAGCAGCCTCTGTTTAAGAAGGTTCCAACTGACCAGTTGTCACTGTTACAAGTTGTTTAATGATGAACCCTGACGTCTACTCTGAAAATGTGTGGCAAAGATAAAACGTGTCTTTTTAAAGCACTAAGATAGGTCAGTCCTTGTCATTCTTCGAGTGAACACACTTAAGCTGTGAATTTCC